CTCGCAACTAATTCAGACACTTCTTGCATAATGACGCGATTTTTCTGAACCTTTAGAAGTCTCTTGCACTCCATTATGACCTTGACAAGCTGAGTGTCGGTGCTCGAACAGCCCATCTCTTCTGTCAGTAAAACCCTCCACTGAACCCCAACTCAACTTGAATCGCCTCTTATACATGCGCCACCAGTTGCGGGTCCCAGGGATTATGGAGGTTAGAACGTTGAGGAGCTCGATAAAGGCCGAATCGACCGTATCCTCATCATAATTACCGCTACTAGAATGAGATACTACGAATGGTTACTCATAAGCTGCACGCAGTATTGTTCTAGTGCGATATTTAGACGTAGCTGGATGGGACATAATAAATAGCACCGCATTGTGGGCTTTCGCACTGGCATTTGTCTCATCCCTAAAGTCGCCTCTAAGTATCAGAAACAGAAGTCGGAACGCTGCGTCTCGCGCTAAGGTCTTATCACCCTTGATAGCGCGGTAACGCTTATATTCGAGCTCGTAGTTTGTTTTGCAGGCTCGAAGATCAACAAAAATGTGGTCGATGGTCTGACCGCCCACCACATCAACCCCGAGGAAATCTTATGTCTTGCAGAGAGTGTGATACTGAGCCAAGTCAACCGGCAGAGACCGAAAGCAGAATCGGTAGCCTGACTCAAGCCCTTGTAGTGCGACAACATCGAAGGGAGGATATCACCGTGAGTAAACTCTGATCCCTGTGGCTGACAATTGCGTTCGAACTTGACGAATGACGCTAGGTAAGGGATCATTAAGAGATCAACATTGTAGAGTATGACCGATCTTCAGCATGGTTTCCGAGGGGCCCCATCCGGCTGGCGCTCTTTCATGGGGTGCATGTTCTGCATCACCATAGTTCAGTTTGGAGTCAAGGTCATCCGGTAGCATTTTCACCGTAGCAGCTGTCCAGACCTCTAACCTATCCTTCTGGCGATCATATCGCGCAGCAGCCTTACCCCCGCTTCTCTTCACTATGTCAATCAACTTTTTGAACAGTGAACCTAGTCTCCTCAGGTCTTCTCGATGAGATTCTTCCCATTTCTTAATCTCAGCTACGACGTTCTCCACTTTTGGTGGTGCAAACACCCTGTTTTTATGGTATGCGCGTACTAGATTCGGGGTCTGCGATACCCAGAGCTGGGGAAGGACCTCCTGTACGCTGATCGGTTTATGAGCCACACGCGTTTTGATCTCAAGTATCGAGTCAGCTGCTACAGTTCGACCCTCATGCCTCAGCAGCAACTTAGACTGCCCCGAAGTGCCACAGGGGACACATTCGGAGGGACGAAGAGATAGCGACTGGATCATGCTGGATAGATCAACCTGATCCTTGCCGACAACAGGGTAACCAGATAACGGATCAATGTATCCATCCGTTTCATAGCGAACGATGAGTCTGAGCCCACCAAAAAGGTAACTGATGATTCTATGGTGGCCAGTACTTCCGTTAACTTGGTCTCGGGTGTATGCCTTTTCAAACTCATCACCAAAGCCCACAAAGTCTCCGGGTCCGAGGAATCTAACTGTCTCGGTCTCTGCACGACAGAAGACCGCCGTCTTGCCTGTGACTTCTACCTCGATGGTGAAAGGCTCAAGCCCATTCTTTGATAGACTAGGATTGATAAAGGATAGGAGCATGCGAATGTTATTCCGATCTGTTACGAGATCAACGGCACCAATATTGAATGAAGGATGAGTTGTGTATAGAGTACGGAACAGAGGTTCCAGAGGGCTTTCTGGGTGTCGAGCTGCATTTTGAGCTATATAAATACACCCAGAATCTTTTGGTACCTTTCGGGTACCTTTCGGGTACCTTTCGGGTACCTTTCGGGTACCTTTCGGTGGTGACCATAATGGCGGACAGCCCGGGATAGCAATAGTAGGAGTCTCAGAATCTATCCAGTTATAGGATGACAGGTGCTTGACATCTGTGATCGATGGTGTAGTTTCTTCGAAGCCCTTGAGATCCACGCGAGAGATACTCGCTATCTTGACAGGAGTCATTGTCGAATGGGTATAGCAATGCAGGAGTTGTACGTAAGTATCAAGGCGGGGTAAGGAAACAGCGGTGCTCATATGGTCAGACACCCAGCTTCCAAAGCAGTTCTTTTAAGTAAGGAATGCGAGGCTTGAACCTGCGAGGCGGTTAAAGGCCATCTAGTTACCTGCCACGTGTCAGGCCCCGCTCTCGAATGATGACATCCCATGGTAGCCAACGCGATCCAGGGTCTAGACCAGCGGGCATATGCGGGGTAACAGCATAATAGGGACGGCAGGTGTGACAGACACATCACCCTGCACGTGCTCTCGATAGTAACGTCCCGTATTCTGTATTCTATAGTCATTTCAATATCTTCTACCTGGAAATTCAACCCAGCTTGTGCCGTTGTGCGTTTTCTGCACAACTTAGAGGTCCAAGGTATTGTGTGAAATTCGCCTGAGCCAAATGCAAATGGGATTCAACGTTCTCGCCTGCTGTCATGCCCAAGAGATCGCCGGCGGATAGAAGCTGTAGGTTCCTCGCAAGGCTTGAGCTCTCGAGACAGGCACATACCTGGCCCCTCCTTGCCTACAATCGTCATGCACAGTGTATTCCTAGGGCAGTCTAGATGTCTGCGGTTGCGTGGCCCAGGAATTTCAATGTGGTATCACAACGCTTGCGGTAGCAACTGGATAGCCGAAAGGTATGTCAGCTCTCTGATACTATGAAGCTGTATCTCCATTAATGTTTTAAGGGGTTAGATCAGTCTCAATCCCTACCCATTTCAGTGATAGCAGTGGATCGGCCAATCGTCGGGTAGATTCTTTCATTCTCGCAGTACGGCACGAGGCCGCTTACTAGTGGTTATTGTGATAGTCCCTTGGAGGAAAGCAGAGCGCCAGGAATCTTTCTTAAGCTGTGTCATCGTACGGAAGTTGAAAAATACATTGATAAGAGGATACAGGTGGAGTCCGACAGACTCCTTCCCTTACATACCACAAGGCATGCGTCATTTGCAAATTCCTGACCTAGCCACTTCACAGGCCTCTAAACGCTGGGGAGAAAGCTATGGGCCTCTACTGGCCAGTCCTCATTATTTAGCTGGTCTCCAGATAGGAATGATCAAGTGCTGCCACTATGACTGACAACCAAGGCCATATCTCGGCGATGGGAATTGGACGTGACAAAACTGGTTTCACTGGATACAATTCTTTGCTCCCACAATTGACTGAAGACAGACGCCATCGAGGAGACCAGCCTGTATACATTGTGATATTCTCATACCTAACCATTGGGTCGGCCCGTAGGCAACGGGGAGACAATAGGGCTAGCACATACCTGAGCCCCTGTCTTCAGAGTAACTCCTTGTCTCGAAAGACGGGATGGGTTCGTGCTTATAAACTTATAGCGTTCTTCTTATCCAACTTGTTTTGCGATATTGTGTACAAACTATTTTCCTTAACATTCTCATGCATCTTCGAACTGGTACTGAAGAACTTTCTCACCAACGCCCTACGAGAGCTCTGCACTGAGGAGTAGTTGGATCTTCCCAACTCGATCAATACGCTCCACTACTAAGGTGTGAGTCACTATACCTCCTTTGTGTAGATAATAGTATGTGGTGACAGTCATCCGTGCACAAATCCCGTCTTCGAGGCGATATCCAGCGTTGGGTTCCCTGTGAAAAGCATTCTGTATGCCCGATTTCCCACTGAGCTTGTTCTATGAAAATATTCCTACATTGGGGTTCGTGTGCCTGTGGTGCCCTACTACACCCGCAGTAATGTTAAGCAACGCTCGCTTGGGATTTTTTGCGAGCACCTGGATAGTTTCAATGGTCCAAAGTACGGTTTATCTGATGCTTTTGAAGAGTTCTTGTGGCGCCTGATGTAACTATTTTGGGAATAACGCAATCGGGCTTACGGGAAGTATGTCTTAATTCAAAATTGTTCTCCCTGCAGGTCCGTCTTATAGTGTCTGATTAGACTGGTAGGCTTATAGAGCTGGGAATAGTGAACTTAAACAAGCCCATCCCAGCCGACACCGGAATCAGCGAACTCATACCCTATCTCTGTCCAAAGCAGACGCTCATATATACATCACAGAGGTTGATCTCATGAAGGGTAGTGCGATGATAGGTTTTCAGGAATCTGATTGCATACCTCCTTGCTTGCTCGAGTGGATATCTAGGCGCTCATTTCCAGTAGCGACAGCTGGACGGCAGCAAAATTCTATGTAAGCAGGATCATCCATAAACATGATTTCGGACAGATCTACCAAGTCGAGGAATATCCCGGCAATTGTCTCAACGCGTTGTGTGGCGATTAAGCTGGTATTGACCTTAAAATTAAATTTGGCCTTGAGTTTAGTATTGAGTTCGGACTGTGACGCGACTGGGATTTGACGACTGTAGTATGGTGCTCGCAACGCCAGAACATTCTTCATTGTTGTCATGGGGAATACTTGAAAGGGGCGCTGTCGATTGTCTGCATGCCCTGTTCTTTGGATGGTCTACATCTTCAAGCTTTATCAGAACACCAATGCAACTTGGCGCACATTTGGCGGTTCCGTGTCGTCGGCGTTTGAACTGGCTGTGACTACCAACCAAGTACCAAGCCGACCATCTACCTGCCCCCTTTTAAGACTGTTTTGTACCACAGCCAAGATGTTCAGTCTCCTTCTTTTTTTTTTAGACATGATCGAGCGCGCTACGTCAGATACTAGCTATACATGTAGATTTTAGTGCTAGAGGACAAGATGGTAGGGTGAAGGCGGACTATATTTGATTACTGCGGTAAGACCCATATTCAAATTTAACACCTCTCTGCTATCTTATCTGACGCCGAGAAGAAACCAAGAGCGTTGCAAATGTATGTCAGGACGTGAAGAGATTGCCATCGGAAGACTTGGGTACCCTTAATTCATGGAACATGGGAGGTTTTCTTGATCGGCTAACAACGCTGATGGTTATTCCGTCAAGAGAATTTCATCTCTCTAACTGCGCACAACTCTGCAAAAGGTTCCTCCGGAGAGAATGGCAAACTTTTTCTCGTCGATGGAGCGAGTCATAGCATTAGCAGTCCTGATTGATGAATATTTGATCCCGCGCACGCATGTACGATACGCGTCGTAATTCAGAGAACCCCATGGGATGATATTTTGGACACCTCGCTCCTGCAGAATTTTGTAGACCTGGATTGTCTTTTCTCTCACAGATAGATTATAGGCTTTCTTCGCTGCCTGTTCGTGTGACTCGGGCCCAATGTTTTCTATGGCATAACAGGTTCCTGCGAAAAGAGAAAACAAGGTGCTTCCGTATGGTGGACCAAGGACGTTTGGATTGGCACCATTTGCAAGTAAAAGTTCCACGGTCTCAACATGTCCAAGATATGCTGCAGCTTGGAGGGCTGTAGTAAAATTGCAGGCATCGCCATCCATCTCCCAAGCCCATTGGTGAACAGCTGCGATTGGAGAATCAACTGCAACACCAATACCTATGATTTCACGAGTCATGTCCACGTTGGAAACTGCTGCGACCAAAATATTACCTGCTAAAAGGCAAGTAGGATCACTCGGCTCAATTCGGGCACCCTTACTGATCATGCGTCTAGCAATATCCAGCCAGCCATTATAGAGCGCCATGGCGAGCGGTGTATTAAAGAAACCCCCAAGATCTGGATTCAAGTCAGCCCCGTGCTCAATCAGAATGTTACAGATTTCACGGTGTTTATCAGACAGCCCACCCTCCACTCCAGTCAGAGAGTATGCCAGAGCGCTACCTCTGATATGAGCCCCATTAGAGAGAAGTAGCTCGACTATTTCAACATTGCCAGACATAGTAGCTCCAGTCAATGCATCAGTTGCAAAAGCGGGATCCCACGTTTCCCAATCGTCGACCTCTATCAGTCGGTTGACGTCTGCGCCATAATCCAGAAGAACTTGGCAAATATGATCATTGTCCAATTCAGCTGCCAATATCAAAGGGGTTTCGCCTTTTATTTCCTCATCAGCCACGGCCCCGGCGTCCAATAATAATTGGCAAATCAGGGTGGACGATCCACGTATGGCTTTCGTTAGAACACCAGAAGGACTGGCACCACTGTCCAGAAGATATTTGACTAGATCGGTATTCCCGCATCTGCATGCAATTGACAAAGCGGTTTCACCAAATTCTCCTCTCGAATTTATATCAGCCCCGTCATTGATAAGAAGCTTTACTATCGACGTATGTCCCGAATTGCGCAGCTTTCATAAGTGCTGTACCGCTAGTGGGGTGTAATCTGATCATGCAGCACTCCTCACACGGCTCTTGTACTTGGAAACACTTGGGATCGAATTTGATGTCTTGTATCATATGAAGATCAGCTGGCCGTTGTATTGCGAGAAGATGGACCACTGACCCAAGGCCCAGAGCAGCTGCCCACCCCAGAGGTGTGCGAAGAGTCAATTGTCGAGCAGCGCAACTAAAGGGTACATCGGGAATCATGTGGTTATATATCAACGTGACGTATTTCCACTTCTCGCCCGACTGAAGGAGGGTGGATGCCAAAGACGCCAGACTCATTTGCTCTTCATCTCCAGCCAAATTCATATGCTCGAACCAATAGCGGCATGCATATTCAAGAAGGGGAAACTGTTCGAGATCCGTTCTTGTGCCTGTTCGATTCTCACTGCAATAGCAATGATTAATATACGCAATACAGATTTCCGCAATCAAAGCATGTGCTGAATTATCGTGGAACCCATATGATGAACAGGTGTCATGCTTAAGAGCCTCAGAAGTGAGAAACTCTTTGACTGAGAAATGGGAAAGAGCCAGGTACTTGTTGTCAATTCCGGTCCGGCGGGCAAGACCGGATAGACACGGCAAGATCCCTTCCCCCTCCAGTCTGTCTTCTTCTGCTATAACTGGCCTATTCTGCGGCATGATAATACAGCTCTCGTTGACCTCGACTAGGCGAAACGGTCTGAGGGAAAGTGAAAGCCACAGGAGGGCCCTTGCTGCTTCACTTGAAAGCAAGTAATGAATATTTTGTAGCATTCTGACGTACGTATCGTCCAGTCTCGGTGGCATAATTTTCAGGATATGGTCGATATCTTTCAGTCTGGGCGTAGGTAGTTTCGTGAGCTCTACCATCTGAAGGTGGACCCATAGAAACCTGCGAGGTCATTGTGAGCGATGTCTATCGTTTCAAGTACTTCGACAAGAAACAGGGTACTTACATTCCACCAGACAAACTGATCATGCTGTTGAGGATTTGTGAGAGAGAATGGCCAGGCACTTTGTTCAGGACGTGGCTTTTCTTAAACTGCGCTTCTAGGTACGAGAACATGTCGTGACGATTGCTCATCGCGTCTATGGTAACGATCTCTATTGACGGGATAGTACCTACGAAATCTTCAATATCTCGAGAGTTTGAGTTACTTCGACTCGTAAATAGGATATGCACATGCCGATAGCGGGTAGCAATTGCTTTGATCCAACTCAGAACACGACTCCTTTGGTATTCGTCGGGATCATTAGGCAATTCATCGAGAGCGTCAAGGATAATATATATCTCTTTGCATTGCTGGAGGCACGCAATGGCCGAATCCAGCGCGAGTTCGATGTCGTGATACTCCAGAGGTCTGCTTGCTGTAGATCCGTTGAACTTTTCGTACAGTTCCTCGACATTCTGGAGGACTCGATCGTTCACACACATTTGCCTTAATATGGACGAGAGGCACAGAAGCGGATTAGGCCGGTGGGATTCGGCAAATGAGAAGAAGAAATGTACAAGGATATTGTCAGACTGTGCTGTACAGTAGGATTGCAGGTGCCTAATTACTGCAGAGCTAGGTTTGAAGTTAGCTAGCATTCCAAGCATAACTAATCACCTATGATGGTATTCGGGTTTTACCATAGAAATGATTTTCCGCAACCAACTATTAGATAATATTATTAGTCAAGTGCAGTAAGTGAGTTGGGCACTTAGATGCGCACCCTCACCCTTCACCCACAGTAGTTGCCCTGTAGATCTCCATTGCAGGTATTCCCGACCTTGAAGGAACCATTGGCAGGTGCCGGGATGTCTCCTAGACTCTCGAGATTGGTAGAGCATAAATGGATCTTGACTATAGATCCATCCGAGGACTTCTTTCCGCTTCAGGTCTGTGACGATCGTGGACGCTTCAGCTGTTGTCTTCATATACTCTCTCATCATGGAACGCCACACGAACCTTGTACGGACGCTTTCAAAATATTCTTGTTCTCTCCCACATCGGCCTCTAATTGAGAAATATCACACGACAACTGAGACATGTGCTGAGCGAGAGTCTCTGATTCAGCAGAAGATGCATCACTAGTATATCGTATAATCAATGAATATCTGACCGCCAAAGGGTACCGAGATGACCTACGTATTCAAAACGTTGATAATGAGAATCAGATCCAATTTCTGTTCTTGAAGGATATCTCGAAGTTTCAGGATGGTGCTTTCCTTTAAAGGGTATTTAACCCTCTCCCACTCGGACCTGGCGCGAGCAATAAAGCCGCTGCTCGCTGTATTGTCTTGGACTGTATTGTCTTGGACTTTCTTCACCTTCGCGTCCAATCTGCGCATAGTGTTCTCACATCTCTTCAACAACTTCTCGAAGTCTGCCGTTCCATTGCAACTTTCAAGAGGTTTTCGCTTCACTGTCTCTTCCAAAATCGTTAGCATCCGACGCATCTCGCCCACAGAATTGCAGATGTCGTCCACATCTTCTCTGCAATGTCGCCATCCGTTGTAATACGTGATGATGCTTTGGGACACCTGGAGTCCCAGACTTACGAAACCGGCAACTCCAGCGGCCAGGTCCATGAAGTTGTGGATGGCGATTATGGTGATTTGGTCGAGGGAAATCCTAGACTGAGGAATAGCTCCCTATCCCTTTATCTGCTTAGTCTGCCAGGTAATCAGGAATGTGGCTTAGGCAAGCTGGTTACTGTGCCACAATATGACGTAGTCTACTGTGCAATTACGCAGGAGCAGAAGTTGTAATAATCTGCTTCGTTGTGGTCGGCACAGCCACAATATAGTGTCCGCCAGTGCGGGTTCGTCTGCCAGCCTTGTTCCCAGTCTACCACCGAACGAAGGAGTCTCTTTTGGATCGGCCAATCCAATACCCAACAGCGGCATGTCGTGGGTCATGTGGTAGCCCCTTGATGTGGCATTCCTTGTTCTTGAATATGCTGCTGGCTGGAGTCAAAGGAGCACCAAGTGGGGCTCCCTGCAATTGTTGTGCAACAATCACCGGCAACACACAAGGGCCATCCAAAGATGGCAAAAAGCGGTCCGCCATCTTGTCCAGGAAAGGCATGCCGTGGTCAGAAGAGGAACCAGGCATCTTAAGAACATTGACGAAGAAGTGAGTTTTATCTTGGCTAGAGGTCACCAGACGCTTCACAGAGCAATTTCCCGGTAGAAGCCAGGGTTCCATACAGGTATACTGGAGCTCGAGACTCAACCGGTAGACTGACTTAGATGGAAGGAAAAGTTCATCTCATCCTATCATCACCACTGTACGTACATGTAATTCACTATCTACCTTCTGTACCTCAATATTTCGGCTTCTATGCGGCTATCATAATCCTCAGTCATCCATCTCACCCGCCCAATCCTCTATCTGCTTGCGCCATTCCTCCACCCTCTTCGCTGCCTCTGATAATTCGGCATCTTTTTTACACTCCTGCCTACAGATCTGGCCAAACAACTGCATCTGCTTCATCAACAATTTCATCCCATCTCTAACACTCTCCTTCACCAGGATAACCTCTGCCCGGGCCGCCTCCCTCCGTTTGGCCAGCCGCCGCTCTTTCCACCGCCCGAATGTTCCCAGAACTTTCGTGAACAACTTCTTCAGCACCCCTTCCATCATCTGATGCCCGTCGACATCCATCATCTTGACCAGTTCCTGTCGCGCCCCGGCTTCCGAAGAGGACAGCTCCTCCGCCCTAAGGCCCCCAGAAGATTCCCACTTCTCGTTCCTGGCTTTGCTGCTGCACTGGCACGAAATAACAATCTGCAGTGGGATGTACCGTAGGCACGTCCACCTGTGCTCCAACGAGTCCGTCACCAACTCAGACCGATCTTCTGCGGACCGCTTTGACTCCAGCAATTCATCTGAGACCATTTGAAACGTGTCCACTACGATCACGTTATGTAGCTCAAGCTTCATCACCTCCAGGTTTTTCTCCAACCACCCCAGCGTCGGCGATTTTTGAAACATTTGCTCATACCCCAGTACGTCAAATGGACTGGGGTTGAGTAACAGAATCACCGGGAAGTCCAGCCATCCACACACCAGTTCTTTCCAATTCTGGAAGCTTGCCTCCGAGATCCCATGCTTTACCTGGAATTCCCGTCCGGCCCGGTAGAGCGGGCAAGATTCGTCCACCAGGAGTTGATGAATTTGTCGCAAACTGCTGAGTCTTTTTGGAATTAATTTTCGAGTCAAATGTTCCACAAAACGGGGCGAGCCTTCCTCGAGGTAAGGTGCGAATAGGTTGAAACATCTTGGGTTTCTTGCTTCTTCTTCTTCTTTCAGTTCAACTGCTGCGAGGCGCCCGGTGAGGGCATCGACGTGGTCAACTTTTGCATGTGAGACTAGAAGAGGCATCTTTCTAAGATTCTTGATGTTCGTGCTCTCCTTTCCTACCTTATTGCTAGCTCTGACTTGCGCCTTTTAAACCTGGGGAAAGCTTTCGTTATTCTGAACGCATGCAGCATTACATATTCTAGAGTCCGTAGACTGTTACTCAACCCGAAATGACCTTGTCTTTGATATCTGCGGAACCTTTGATTATTTACCACTTTAACACCGCCTCATATGCTACGTTCTGGCATTTCTTGTCAACTCAACTTATCGCGCATTGGAAAAAGCACCAAGCAGCTGGAAACGGTAGCAAGCAATTTAATCACTGTAACCCCGTTGCCGCAACCGGACACCACCACATCAATGGAAGCATATCTCCAAAGCAATCATGCACCCTGATGTTGATTATCCTGATGCCGATGCCTCCCATGCTTCCGACGGTGAGGACTGGGAACTACTCATTCCGGAATACGTATAAGCAGAGCGAGTGCGGCTCTTGGAGAAATTCTGGGTCGGAAGCGGAGGATTTTGACGGGCACAAGCAATTTGTACGACGAATCCATGTTACAGGATATTGTTACATCACAATTTAATTTATAGCAATAAAATCAGAATAGATATTGTCAATAAGCTATAGCTCTACCTGCGCCGAACCTTCTTACTGGTCGGAGCCCTCGTATTTTCGTCCACTCTGTCTAAGTGTTGCACGCCGATTACGGAGGCAAGATCTTCACTTAGCAGGCATTTGCAAGGCTCTTCGGAATAGTTCCTCTTCAAAGGTTCATCTGGTATTTCTCCGAACATCCCACATCTCCGATAGTCACCGTCATGAGCCTCGAAGTGATCTTTAGGTATCGCCGTGCTGTTGCTGTCTATCCCGTCCCACTTATTAATTTCCCTCTCAAGCCGACCATATATTCTCATGTTGATCGCGCAGCCATGATAGCGGAAACAATCTTCGATAGCATTGTGGTAGTGTTTGTTTGGTTCTACGGCTTGTCAGATTGGAGATCGGTTTTTGCATCCTTGGGGGAACTTACCATAACACCGAGCGGAGAGGTCCCTGACATTGAAGCAAATGCAGACCTGACATTAAGTCTTCATTATAACTTAGTAGAAATGCCTCCGCGTAATCGATATAGTGGCTTGGGCTGCTAGGGTTGTCTTGCAACACAACTACCAATTGCTGTTCTGTGAGCTCTTCCTCATTACAGTTTTTGTTTTGCAAATGAGATTCGCTTGACTGAGTCTAGTCACCCACTCATTATCGCTTCATCGCAGGGATTATTCGGAGCAAAATATCTCCAGGTAAGGAGATTGCTGATCATCTTTTATGCGGTCTTGCTTTCTGTGACAATTAAGACTAAAGCATGAATATAGCTAGATACAGTAACGATTGGAGAGTAGATGAGATAGCCATGCAACGAGCCAGAATAAAGAAGATTTCTATGCCCAATGATTGGCCATGGATCCGGTAAGGCTAAACAAGTAACAGGTCTCTCAATGCTACTAGAAGCTCATCGCGCAAGGATAACTGCTTGTCAATTCCAATGTTTTCACGTCAGCATGACCTGCGCCCCGACAACTTGAAACACTTGGTTAGGCTTACGGGGTTTGATATAACAGCATATAGAGTACTGCGATAAGACCCTGGCTCAAGAAGAGACCGGATTCCAATCCAGTGCGTATCAAGGGCAATTACCGAAGGGGCGACCGGCGATCCGAATAACAAATTGGGGTAGTTCCCAGAGCCATGGGGTTGCTGATAGTGTTCCCCTACTGTTACGCTGTATGTATCAGGCAGATGCCCCCTATGCTAGCTACTGATCCCAAAGGACTAGTCAATTCCGTGGATGTTGGGTACCTTTGTCACTGCTATACGAATTTACAGCGTTTCGTGGTTGAATTCTTACGTAGTTTGACAGGGTGTCCACTCTGACGAGGAGATTTTATCACAGTTAGCTTGGGGAAGTCCGCAGCCTTCGGCACAGGTTGAAACTTGGATAGCCTGCTCACGACCCAAGATGTGGGCTGTAGTCGCAGCTGAGGCGGTATGGCATTGTCTCTCAGATAGGAATGGCACAGGTATCCATTTCAACGTGGTGTTGCAATTCGAATACTTCCTCAAGCAAACGTCGGTCATAGAAACCTGGCGAACCAACTTCTTTATGCATTACTACGAGAAATCGTAATCACAGACCTATAGATACCGCGTGTCTCTCAACCAGGTCGTGGATTTCCTGCTCCCGGGACCGCAGTTTTCGTGCTTCATCTGTGGCAGAATCCGATTTGACCCCGTTCCGCACCTCGAAGCAAGGATCCTCCCAGTAAAGCTCCCACATTATTTCCATTTCGGAGGTCAAGTCATTGACCAGCTCTGAATGTGCAACACAATCCTCCATGAAGTAGCTGTCTGCAAGCCATAAATCAAAAAGGACCTCGTCGATACCCTGTCTTATCCAGTAAATGTGTTCGTAGTCCATATCAACGGAGCCATATCCACTCCTTTTCCATGTCACGTCCTGTCTGTCGTGGTCGACAGAGATGTTTGCGGGACAGTCCGTCAAAAAACTACGTGCGATTTCTTCCACAGGAGCTCTAGCACCAAAGCAGCGCGCCATCCGACCTAGTTCTCTTCCAGCAGAATATCCGTCCGCGCGAGGATCCACAATCATATTGATCATCAAGTCTCGGAATTCTCGAAGGCTGGGCAAGCGATCGTCCTGGAGAAAGGCATCCAGATCCAGCCCGCGGTTCAAAAGTGTCTCGACAGAAACCATGTGCTCCACATACTGGTGTTCGATTTCCCATTCAAATATGTATTCGTGCATGAATTTGTCTCCATCATCAGGATTATACCCCAACTCAAGAGCAAGGTCCCGAGCATGATGGCAGGGCAACGTGCCATCTTCTCCCACCGGGACCGAAATAATTGCGATCCAAATGCCATCTGCTCGGTCATCCGAGTGGTAGTGTTTCACGAAAGCGCGATGAAGGGCTTCGATGGGGCGGTCAGTGGCGGAGACCAGGGCCGTGGGTTTGTTCTGGTAAAAGATGCTATGTTGCCGAAAATTGGATAGAAGCTCCAATTTTGAGAGTGGGGTACCAGTATGGTTCAAACCGCATATCAACGCTCCTGCGCTGCTCTTCGAGAAACAGCGATATAAGTTCTTCCGAAAGGGCCTATAAGTCATATCTGCAAGGGAAGTATTACAGGACGATGTAGAGCATGAAGACAAAAAGTGAGTATCTGCTGGAACTGCCAAGGCAAGCTCCTTGGTCTATGTCTCTGACCCTAGGGCAGTTCTTAACAACGCAAAGAGGGAGTCTGACAGGTAAGGCGTTGTGGCCGTGAAAACGTCGGATCTTGCGCGGGGTCTGCTGGAGGAAAAAGCACATGTGGACCATTGCGCTAACCGGAACAAGACTACTTCGCACGATCTATCAACAGGTTGAACCATATACAAGTGTACTGTTTTACTAATAAAAATTACTCCATTACCGAAGAAAAACTCATTCTCTAATTCACCGTGCTAAATAATGCTGAAGCCTTCCTATAGGCAAATATAAGGAAGACGATCGAAGACATTAAACTACAAGATTTAGGGTGGGGGGAGGTAGGTAGATAAACGTCAAGCGATGGAGATATATACATATCTCTCCCCTGTTTAGCGAGGCGGAGTACATCTCTTCGCTTCATGATTCTAGGACTTCATCATGTCTTAAAATAGAGAATCACAAATAGTTGCGAGAGACACTATAAAAATGCAGAGATTGTTTGATTAGGTGTATTATGCATACCTACCATAGCATATAGCAGGATATTAGGTCTACAGGTTGTTTCCTCATGAATTGAGAAAGAGGGATATAACATGTATTGTGATCATTACTGTAAGCCTTGCTCGAAATCACATAGTTTCTCACTATATGCCAAGAGACTTTGCTATTAATCGGTTATGAGCTAGCGCAATAAGCATAAGGTTAAAGGGACATTGTTAAAGTAGTCTAAGGTAGCGTTAAGGTGACATAATAAAGGAGTTGAATTTCGAATGCGGACCCATAAAACTAGCCTCCCGTATTGCCATAACTGTCATTCATCATTTTCCAGATGCCTTTCTAGTACCATTTAAGTGTCCGTCTGGCTGGTTTGCACCTTTGGAGTTGGCAGATTTGCTCCGTAAAGTCTTTGCCATGACTCGAACCACGCTAGAATTGGATGTCGCCTTTGGTAATTCACTGGACGCTGCGCAGAAGAGAGGTGATGATCTGTTAAGCTGGATTACAACGGTGTGTAATGTCATGCGATTGTTCTCTATGACGGAAAGGCGCGGAAATATTGTTAGAGCATTCTCATCCTGAGTGTTCTGTGCAGTTTGTGCCTCCGGTCGGCTGTTCTCGTCCAAAGTAAAGGGAAGCCAATACTCGTCGGGTCCTGGCTGTTCGAAATCTGGCTCATATCTTCGCTTGGCATGTCGTATGGGTTGCCAAACTCCTGCGGCTTTCCGCACGATCTTTTCCAAACTTGAGCGCATTGACATATGTTGTGCCTCTGTCAGTAAATCGTCAAAGTATGACAGCACGCGACCGATGACAGTCTGGATAGTCGACGAAAGAGCTTTTTCTTGGGCTTGCGTATTTATTGACTGCAGGACAGACCGGCAAAATGATTCCTTCTCACTGTCAGTCATGGCAAGATCACCAAGGATTTTCCGAATACGGGCATCTTCAGGGATGATGTAGCATGGCTGGAAGATATATTTGTCGATCTCCCTCGCGAGGATAGCAAGAATAATTGCTAAGCGGATTTGTTTCGCTGGCGGGGTATTCGAACAAGGTAGGGGAATGTGGTAGTTACGGACAAGGTCGTAGCGTTTTAGATTGGTCCACGCTGAGCCGTTCTGAGGAAATAGATCAGTCAGCCATAATTGATATCTTGCTGTCAATACGTACCGAGATAGCTTCTGTAGTGAAGTCGACATTGAACTGGGAGTACAGCTCTGTCTTGGCAAACTGCCACAGACCAGTGAAATCATCTATCCTGTAAGCTATTAGTATACTATAGCTTCTACTGTGTTTCCAGGTGTCACTTACAGGGAGCCCTCGTCCCCTTCATAAAACCCAGAGGCAAATCCTTCAATCGTGTTGAGTCTGGCACGAGTGTTATCCAGCAGTTGTTGAAGGTTCGAATTCTTCTCCTCAAGTGCCTTTGCATTCTCCTTAGTAGTAGAAAGGCTATGTTTTAATCCCGATTCTGCTGCCTTTAGTTG